CACAATCTTATACCATACACAAATTCATACTTGAACGATATAATCAAGCAGAGTAAACCATACTAAATGTAAAGTCAATAAATTCTTTTTTGATTGTTGAGCCCCACCACCACTACCAGAGAAGACTATAAGGAATTTAACAGAAGAAAATTAATCATCAAATACTTTGGTTCAATACTGAGCTACAGTGAAATAATCTGGGTATTAGTACAGTTTACTTGAAGTAAGATTTAAAGCAGCACATTTAAATGAAGCAGAATTCATTAAGCAACCTCTCAAAAGGATCATTTCCTCTAATTATTGCTTTTATAACAAAAGACAAAAGCAACCCAATGTAAGTTCATAAAATCCACAATTAGCTGCCTAAATCTTACCAGATAAAATTAGAAGAGAAAGGATATTTAGAAGCACAACTGGTATAAAGTTCTGCTGTTCCTTTAAAAAAGGCATTTGCTCTTTCTTTCTACCCATAATCATTTGAAGTAGAGAAACATCATGGGCCAGATATGGTGGCAGGTCCTCAGGAATTAAGGGGAAAAAGCAGAAAACCAAGCTGGATGCTCCAGCAGCTTAGACTGCTGGGGTGGCAGGGAGAGGGTTAGAAAAATCCTCACACTACCTCCAGACAAGTGTTCTAACATGATCTGCATCTAAGAAGGTACGGGAGAAGGAAGCTGTGACTGACTGGTTGAGTGGAGAATCTCCACATTTAAGCCGTGTCTTCTAGGAGGAGAATGAGTCTAAAGTAAACAAGGTAAAACAGAGGGAAAGTAAGGCATTCCATAGCCCTTGCAGAAGAAACAACAGTGTGTGAAAGGGTACCCAGGATGAAACAGTATGTTAGGGAATCTGTGGACAGATGAGGAGTCGGGGAGAATAAGAAGTCATGATGACGGGGTGCACAAAGCTCGAAAGAAGATTATGAAGAGTGTTTCAAACTATGGAATTAGTTCAAGCTTTATGCCTTACTCAATAGGGCAAGATACTGAAAACCTGATCAAAATCTGTCATATTATCTACTAAACTTTTCAGTATTCCAAAGCATTTAGTAATTATACTGTTTTAACTGCAATATATAAAGGCAAAATGAAAAGGCAACCTATGAAATGGAAGAAAATATTTTCAAACCATATATCTGATAAGGGGTTAATTAATATCCAGAATATATAAAGAAATGCTACAACTAAACTATGATTTTTCAAATGGGCAAAGGACTTGAAAATGGCCAGCATGCACATGAAGAGAAACTCAACACCACTAATCATAAGAGAAATACAAACCAAAACCACAATGGGAAACACCCCCACATCCATCAGATGGTCTCTATCAAAAGTACGGAAAAGAGTAAGTGTTAGCGGGGATGTGGAGAAATCAGAACCCCTTGTGCACTGTTGGTGGGAAGGTAATTTCCTGTAGCCATTATGGAAAACAATATAGAGGTGTCTCAAAAAAAATTAAAAATAGAATTACCATATCATCCAGCAAGTCTACTTCTGGGAATACATCCAAAAGAAATGAAAACAGGATCCTAAAAAGGTTATCTGCCATACGTTCATTACAGCATTATTCACAAGAGCCAAGAGGTGGAAGCAACCCAAAATGTCCATTAACAGATGAATGAATAAAAACTGTGGTATGTACATACACTGGAATATTACTCAGCCTTAAAAGAAGAAGGAAATGCTGTCATATGCTACAATATGGATAAACCTTGGGGATATTACGCTAAATGAAATAAGCCAGTCACAAAAGACAATCTTACGTGATTCCACTTATATGAAATATCTATGGTACTCAAACTCTTAGAAAGTAGAATGATAAGGGGCTCCTGGCTCACTCATTCCGTAAAGCATGCAGCTCTTGATCTTGGGATCATGAGTTCCTGCCCCATGTTCAACAGAGAGATTACTTTAAAAAATAAAAATATTAATGGGATGCTTGGGTGGCTCAGCTGATTAAGCATCAACTCTTGATTTTGGCTCAGGTCATGATCTGGGGGTCATGAGATGGAGCTTCTGGTTGGGCTCCACACTAGGTGGGGAGTCTGCTTAAGATTCTCTTTCCTTCTCCTTCTCCCACCACCGCCCCACACACGCTCTCTAAAATAAATAGATAAATCTATTTTAAGAAAAGATTTTAAAATGTACTATACTATATACCTTAACTTTAAAAATGGCTAAGATGGTAAATTTTATGTTTTGTTTTTCATCACTATAAAACAAACCAGTAACAAAAATAAAAAATTACAATTAAAGATAGCAAAGTTCCAGGCTAATTCATAAGGAGTCCCTAATGCCATTATGGGGACATGACCTGTATTGGCTGTACAGTGAGTTATCAAGTTTACAAAGTGTTCTGCTTACAGGGGAATTTCAACTTTCTCAGATGACACAGTAATTGCCAGCAAGTTGTATGCCTCAAATCTGCAGGGTACAAAATAAATGAAACTGCACATAATTAGAAGACCCAGCTCTAGTCAACTGGTGCTGAGATTGTTGACTGTGCCATCATGGAAGGATTTTTCAGGGTTCAGTAACTTACAACTACTGATTGGTAGATAGAATTTAAAAAAGAAATCATGATCTCAAGTGAATACAGCCAAACTTTCAGTTATTAAAAAGTCCAATCTAGGGCGCCTGGGTGGCTCAGTCGTTAAGCGTCTGCCTTCAGCTCAGGTCATGATCCCAGGGTCCTTGGATAGAGCCCTACATCGGGCTCTCTGCTTGGCGGGAAGCCTGCTTCTCCGTCTCCCACTCCCCCGCTTGTGTTCCCCCTCTCCCACTGTCTCTCTCTGTCAAATAAATAAATAAAATCTTAAAAAAAAAAAAGTCCAATCTAGTCTAAATCAAAACTAATTTCATCCAATGTGAAGCTTTTCCCCTCAAACCAGCCGTGAGGCGAGGGAAGGGCTCAGAGAGTGAAAAGAGGCAAGTGTGAGGAAAAGGAAACAGAGAAGTCTATTCACTCGTCTATGGTCCCCTGGCCTGTAAAAGAGCTGCCAGTTGCAGGAGTTCAAATGCAGGTTCTCTCTAATGTGACTCCTTCACTGGGACCCCCACGCTGCCTGATGAAGGCAATGGGGGCCCTTGGCTCATCTCTTACCACCTCCTCTCAGCTCCTGCTCCTGCAGTTCACCCACAGCCTCTTTCTGCTGGGGTCCTACAGCTGGCCGGGCAGGCAGTCCTTGCACCAGGGACGGTCTTTCAAGATGACTCACAGCTGCCCTCCAGGCAGACCTCCTAGCCAGCAGGAAATGTCAAGCCTTTGCCGTCCCCTCTCCCTACCCCCACTCCAGTGTAGCTCCAGCCACAAGGCTGCTTCCCATCACTGTGTTCACAGACATCTCCAAACTCCAGGAGATTCACACTACAGTCTCAAGAATTCTTTCTTAGGATTCCATTCTAATCTCATACCAGCTTGGGCCTCTCTCAAATGTACTGCCGGGAGGATAAAGAGAGGAACTCACTTTCCCCAGGGAAGAGCATGCTATACTCCCAGGAGTTCCTTGCATGGGATCCTTTCTAGTCTTCCTGACACAGCCTGGGTTATAGGGTGGAGTATATAACAGTTGTTAGATGCCTCTGGCCACCTCTTGACAAATCCTGCAATGGATGTTTCTAGAGTCTCTCTTCAAACAATGTGGGTACTTACCACCTACTGGCAACAGCTCTGGGAGCTGGGTCAAAATTTTAGACAACAGGAAAACTCCCATTTAACCTACCGTAATATATCTGTATAGTAACAGGAGAGAAAAACCATTAAGACTCCATCCAACTGAGGTACACTGTTATCAGGTGCCCAAGGGTACCTTCGCAAGGCTTAAAATTCTTCAGAGGACAGTCTGAAATTCAGCTCTATTAAATATTCAAATAACAGCACAAATAAGCACAGAAGACAGCAACACTACTGAACGCAAACTGTTGGCTGGCAGGCAGTGTGACCGTGCTGGAAGTTCTGATGATGTGCACAAAGGGGCTATCAGCGCAAAACGCACTTAAAAGTAAACACTGTTATTAGCACTGATGTGTGCAACTAAGACTATCCAGGAAGGAAATCTTGGTAATTTTTGTAACTCTGCCACTACTAACTGTCCCTGCATTTTAGAACATTCTCTCCAGACTCAAACTCCAGGGTAAGAGCAGTCAGCAGGCTGAGCCTGAGTAGTGAGCCCACCCCATAATTCCCAGGAGGAAAGAACAGGAAATACTCATTAGGCCTAAACTGGTTTCCAAGCAGAAGGTAAACCCTAACAAGGCCCACCAGTGCATAATTATACAGTGGACATCTTCCTTAAAGAAGAACTCAGAATGTTAAGTCGAAACAATACTAGCAATGACAAACGATGTTATTTCTGGCAGTCCACATTACATGCCAATATCATTTCGTCTAAAATATAAGTTATAAAAGCGTATCATCACCACAATCTGCCATCATCCGTCAGAGCCATCAAAAAATGAAAGCTCCCAGAAGGGCTAAGATCATTAATGCAATGCTGATAACAAAGACACCAGGAGATTGTTTTTTTATGTCATATCATGTTAATTGTCATGTTTAAATTTGTAAATTGTTGCCTGTTTAAAAATCCATTTACTAAAATAATAAATAATGCATGTTGTGACATATTAGTGAAATTATTTTTTAAAGCATCACAGGCACAGATGAATAACCATTTCAGTGCAATTGCGTGTACCATTCAGGGAAAAACAAGAGGATCTGATTAAGTTACATCACGGCAGAAAAAGCAAGGCTTGCTACCACATTTCCCTACTGCAAATTGACCCTCGACATTTCAGATTCCTAAGGTCAGCTCAGCTCAGCAAGGCACCTGGGGAGCCAAAGCCAGAACTTGAAGCGGTAGCATCGGCTAACAAGGAAGTTGAGCTGGCAATGGAAAGGTGGCCAGGTTTAAAAGAAAGGCTGTAAGGAATTGCCAGGACAAAAGATTTTCCAAATCATGCTACAGGAAAGAGAGCAAGGATCATGGCTTTGCTGTCTCTCACGAACTTTATTCCATAAATCTTTCATGTTGAATTTCACCTCTTCATGCAGAACCCAGTTCTTGACTTTCACTGGATAAGGATAAATACTAGCATCTCCTTTGAAAGTGAAGTGGTTATTTGCAAATGCTGCCAGGCAGAGAGCAAAACCAGAGTGTGCAGCACAAATGTAATTTTGAAATTCAGCATTTTACGTGCAAAAAAACTCCTATGTTCTACAACAAACTTTTAACACAAGATTTAAACCCCTATCATAAACCCTTAGAAAATAAACTTGAAGTGACTGAATTAAATAAAAGTCAAACCAATGATGTTATCAAAATACCTGGTAACCAAAAGATTAAACAGAAAACACGAGCCTACTGAGTCAAGGTCAAAGTCCCAAATCTGACATTCTCAGCTCTCTGCGGTCTGCCCATAAGCTACCTTTTTAAATCTTACTTCCTACTGCTTCCCTTTTGTACACCTGGTTCTATATACCTGTTTGTGCGCCTGGACCAAGGAAACTACTTACTGCTCGCAGTTCCTCATATTCTTTTGTGCCTTCCTTCCTTTCCTTTGCAGCCCTCCTTAAAAAACACAGGTCCAAATTCTACCACCCCAAATGACGTCTTGGCCAAAAAGTCTCCCTGGATTTTTCAAGGGCTGCTCTCGCCTTCCTCTGGCTCCCCCAGCTCTGCCTGTTGTCTTACAATAAACGATCGTCATCTTTGGTGACAGTGTCACTACTAAACTCTCAGTGTGTATCTTCACAATGCAGCACTCACTTATGGCGAAACACCCACACTACACCCTGTTTACATACAAGGATCCCAGGGTCCAGCCCCCAGAGCGGAGCAAACCCAACATCCCACCTATGGTAGGTCATCTCCTACCTGCCTCATTACACCGCTTGGATGTAAAAGCCCATTTACTCCTTTCGCTCTTCAGACTAAGGCTGTTTTCTACCCGGACAATGCATTCTCCTTTCAATGTTGTTCGGTAATGTTCCTTGGTTTGACCTATTTTCTGCCTCACCATAGGATTCCTTCATCCATAGAGCAGATGGGATACCACCGACCAGGTCTGCCCAGTAGGTGGATGGGTAATTGCCCAGTAGGTGGATGGGTAACCCGGCAGTAATTACCTTGGGTTAACCAGGCACTACCTTGTAGACTGAGGCCTTCTCTTCACACAGACAGGAAAGGTTACAATGGGATGACTGGCCCTGGTCTCTACAGAGTCCTGTTCCCCCTTTTCTTGGACCTCAGCACACAATTCTCTCCCATTGAAATCTTTACAGCTATTTAACTTCTTAATGGAGCTGAACAATCTCTCAGTCATATGGGCATTAAAGTTCTCAGAAGAAGCAGAATATCAAGTATAATGGCAGAGGTAGAGAGAAATAGCTCAGAGAAGTGAATTCATTTTCATCATTAAAAGAATTTTAGGGACGCCTGTGTGGCTCAGTCAGTTGGGCGTCCAACTCTTGGTTTCAGTTCAGATCATGATCTCAGAGTTGTGAGATCAAGCCCTGCATCGGCTCTGTGCTCAGTGGGGAATCTGCTTGAGATTCTCTCTCCCTCTCCCTCTGCCTCTGTCCGCAGCCCCACCCCCACCCCCCAACCCCCACTACGCATGTGCTCTCTCTGTCTCTCAAGAAAGAGGCTCAGTCGGGGCTCCAGGTCATGACCTGAGCCAAAGGCAGACACTTAACTGACTGGAGCCAACCCTAAATAAATCTTTTCAAATAATACAGATGATACGATGGAGTCAATCTCTACTGTCATCTCCTCAATCCCATCCCAGTCCTTCCTTTGAGTCCTTTATCAGTGCATTTATGTATCATCTGCCATTAAATCTAGTATCACTTATAATACACATTATTCTTCACCAAGAAAGAAAAAAAAAAGTTTAACTATTAAACTATGCCAATTGTTAGATACACTGATTTTAGAAATTCTAACATGTGAAAAACATGTTTTAGAATCCATGATATATATAGATTTCATATGCACAACACATACAGAATCTATTAAATGCAATACATACAGAAATACATCTAGTTTTGAGGAGGTTTTTTACACAAATTGTGACAATTTTATCATTTATTTTTCTCAGTAAAAGTGTATCAGGGAGAGTTTCCCACATCAGTTGCTACAGATCTACCACATTTTTTAAGGTGCTGCATAATATTTCATATGCGAGCTGTACTGCTGTGCATTCAGTTATTCCACAGTTTACCATTACTAACAATAAAGGGATACGAGTATACACGTGGGTATCTTTGCTAGACACAGAATTACTGAATCAAAGATATCTGACCTTTTTTTCATAGATAGTGCCAAACTGCCCTCCCAAAAAGGTCTGAACAATTTATACATTCACCATATGTGAATGATACCCATTTTTCCTGTTGCCAAAACAGATTATTAATCTTTTTAATTCCTGCCAATCTAATGGGACAAAATCATACCTGATTATTTTGCAGATGGTTCCTTATAGTCTCTGTATTTATCCTTTGTCTATTACACATGGCCTATTTTCTCCCAGTCTCCCATTTGTCTTTTAATTATATTTGCAGTTTTGCCTTTAGTGATACAGACATTTCAAATCTTTAAAAAGTCAAATTTACCCATCTTTTCCCATCTGTACCCATGATTACTTACTTTTGGAAATATTTTCTTCTAATAGTTAACCCATTCTTTGCAAACGCCACTGATGTTCTGGCCTGGCTGTGCTTGGAGGGAGATGGGATATCCTTCCACAACCCTCACACTGGAAAATTTCCACACAGTTATCCTGAGCCCACCTCTGAAAGGGGCAGGTGCCAGTCAGGGCCCTGCCAGCCTGTGGGCACTATTTCAGGAAAGACTGGCCAGTTCCCTTCCTTAATGGCTGAAGCAGAAGCCTAACCCATTCCAGGCTATGTGTGCCAAACCATTCCAGGCTACATGTGCCAACCTAGTCAGGCTGACATCATGGCCCAAGGCCAGAGACCAAGGCCCCAAGCACACAGACAGGCGAGCATCCCACTATCCATGGCTGAGTTCTGAGCCAGGAGTGTCTGGACACCTCGTGTGAAGACTGTCAACTCATCTCCCCGTTCTCCCTCAGTCCCAGCTGTAACAGACTGCCTGAAGAACTGCATCCCTGACCTGGCAAAAACAAACCCCAGCACATTGGGTAACTCTGCTGACTCGATCCTGATGGTCCCAGCTGCCAAGACACAAGTCCATGTGACACAAGTCCCCTGTCCCCGGGAGCCAAGGAGGAAAGCCTGGCTCTTCCCCCTCCACATCTGCACCAGATCAGATCAGTAATTCCTCTGCTTCCAGCTCACCACTGTTTACACGGTCTCCCTTTCTTACTCCATAACCTACTGCTCCAGCCTGTCTGAGCTTCACCCTTCAGGCTCTCATGACTCACCCAACTGCCAGAAAGAGGGCCCAAGGACAGTTAGGTTCCGAGTTCCCTGACTCCAAGCAGCGTTAAGTGAGCTGTGGTTAGTGGCTCAGTGGGTAACAGACTGGTGGGAACACACACCCCTCTGCTGTAAGTTCATGATTTATTTAGCTAAAAACACAGAACTTAGTGAGCAAGTAAGGTGGCTGTACAAGTAGGAGCAGATGCGGCCTGTTTTTCTGTGGCTTTTCCTTGGCCCTTGGGTTTCCAAGTAAGAACATAGCCAAAGTGAACTCAGGTGGGGTCTTACCAGTTGGGAGAAAAAAATAAATAAAAGAAAGCTGAATTCTTACTGTGACTTTTAAAATCTGGCTTGCCCAACAATCTCTATACTTCTGTTTAAGGGAATATTTATCTCCATTAGACAGTCCTGGTTGCTGAGCCAAACTCAGCATTATCAAGAATTCGTCCTCACCTCGGTGAGGGGGAGTATGGATGGGGAACAGTCCATGTTCAAAGTCTCTCCAGCATTCCAGAGCCCAGGGAAAGTCCATCTCCCAGAAGTGGGGCAGACCTGAGGGGCCTGCTCAAACACATGTGGAACTCAGGAGAGCTTCCTGCAGCACACACCTGAAGAAATCCCAATCCCGCCTCAACCCTCTCGCGACTGAAATTAATCTTGCATGTCAGAGTTGATATGCAACTCTATGTTCTGGGATATAAACCGCTCCTCCTTGAGCCCCAGCCCTCCTGCAAAGCAATGAAGCCAAATCCTGATGATAATGCCCCACTTGGCATTCTGTGCTCTACAAGGGCAGAGCTCACCCGTGCACCTATCAAAGCCTCTGGAGGAAAACTCAAATAGAAAGCTCCTCGAGGGGACGACCTAAGTTCCACTCAGCTTCTAGCCTCCATATTTAGTATACTTCTTTATACACAGGAAATATTTTCCAAATATTTGTTCAACTCATTATATGGAATTATTTTTGGAATGGATACTTGCCTTCTCTCTAATATATTTAAGTCCAATAAACTCACATCTCTGTTAAAGAAGTCTCTCTCCATGGCTAATACCAATACTATCCATTATCAATTTCAAATTTAACCAGCCTCAACTTCCCACCCAAAAACAAGGAAATTTGAAATTCCAGAACGCCATTATACTAAATGGAAGTTTTTCTACATGTTCTAGATCTCTGCTATCCAATATGGTAACCACTAACCACATGTGACTATTTAAATTTTAATTTTAAAGAAAATTTAAAATTTAATTCCTCGGTCTCACTAGCCACCTTTTAAGTGCCCAACAGCCACATGCGCCTATCTTACTGAACAGTGTAGATACTGAACATTTCCATCATTCTTTTGCTCTAGGCGCATTATAAATCTTAAGAATCAAAGAATTCTTAGCTTGTAGCCAGTATCAGATCATCAAAGTGCCATAATTAAATTTAAAAATATACTGCTCCTTTAATTAAAACAGAAGGAAACACTCTCACTGATGAGTAGAGAGCTTTTATAATAATAGATTTGTCTCATCACAATGAAAAATTTAAATGCAACAAAATTCTCATCTATCTCTGGTTGCCAAAATTAATATGCTATGCAGAGGGCAATGCATACTTGGAGTAGCATGAATTCTCTCTTTGGACAGATAAGACTTCTGGTTAATGGTCATTTAGGCAGCTCAGTCCTAGGCTGAGTAGAGTGTGCAAACATCTAGAAAATGTTCAACCCAGGGATTTCAAAATGTATGCATACAAAACCAAAACATCTAAGTCTTCTAAAAGCTCAAAATTTGAAGCTAAGGGAAAGGGTGCCATGAATACGTTAAGAAATTATGTAAATTAGAACAAAGGAAGACTCTAGGTGGATGATCCTCCCTCCCCGTCCCCACTAAATGCCAACATGCCTTAACAGATAAAACACACATATCGGGAGTTAAAAAGTAAAGGGATCTTCTATTTCTTTTATAGACTTCTAGGACATTGAAACTTCAAGGTAAAAGGCCCAGGCAGCAACGTTACAGCTCTGGAATAAAAAAGATTTTCCCCCACAGTGAAGCAATGAGAGGGATAGTAAGTGTGCAATGAAAAATAAATCAAAACCCAGATGGATAACGATGTACAGAAGGGGAAGCCTGGGGGTAAAACACAAGGTAACTTATCCAGGAGTGTCAAGGTATAAAACAATGCACTGGAGTCTGAATTTTACATATTTTTGTTAAGTATTTGTGATGTTCTCACTGGGTTGTCCACGACACTGTACAATGTTAAGGTTTTTTTGGTTTGTTTGGTTTTTTTAAAGATTTTATTTATTTGAGAGAGAGCGAGCGAGCACAAGTAGGCAGAGAGGCAGGCAGAGGGAGAGGGAGAAGCAGGCTCCCCGCCGAGCAGGGAGCCGGATGTGGGGCCCGATCTCAGGACCCCGGGACCATGATCTGAGCTGAAGGCAGCCGCTTAACCGACTGAGCCACCCAGGCACCCTAATGTTAAGGTTTAATTGTCCAAGGTCACTCATCAGTTACCACCTGAGAATGTGTTCTACCTGAAGGACCACCCCAGCGGGTCACAAACAACTCTACTTCGTTTTCAGCTCAGTTTTATGCTGGATTCTAAGGCCTACGACATCCTACTAATGTAAAGGTCAAAGGAAATACATCCCTAAAATATTGCCAGGAGGACAGCTAGAGATACTAGGGGTGACCAACAATTCGGAGCTTAGTGATGTCAACTTTTAACTTTCATCTCACCCTTTCCCCTCCGCACTATCTCCTGGTCCTCAAACAGTGATCATCCTTTTATACCTGACTCCAGTGTCCTTGAAAAGCTATTTATCATCATGAAATCAAACTGTATTTTCTCCTTTGGGAACACACATGCTGTATGACAAGACAGGAAATCCTTAGACCATGATGGGTAGAACCATATTAGACTTACATACTGACCTTGACTTTACTGGAAAATTTCAAGTGGTAAAAATTTCATCAAGGTAAGAGAGGAACAAATGAGAAACATTTTTTCCTCCACTTTATACATTCATTATTTCAATTCTGTTGCCAACTGTTTGTAATAGTTTTATAAACTCTCAGAAACTCAAGAGAAAACAGTGCATGAGTCACTCTCCCAACAGCATATAAATGACGAAAAATATCATATGCACACTATCATTCATGGAAATTTTTATTTAGCTGTTTTTAATAAAAACCCATATGATCAACAAAAGTATATATTAAGCATGTTACAGATTCTAGCACAGATTTCTTAAAATTCAGAGGAAAAGTATGTGGACCAAAAAGCATTAATATATCAACCTTCAGAAAAGAGGCTTAAAAGATTTAAAATATCAAAAACAAAATGTTAAATAAAGGCTTAAAATATTAAAAAGAAAAATTTTAACTAGAATTTATCAGATTTACTAAAAAATGTCTTTACTGAGACATTAGAGAAGAAATTAACGTCTTAAACAAAGACAATTTTTTAAAGTAAGCACTCTTACAAAATGTTTATCTAACAGAATCCAGGCATTCTGGCTACAGCATCTCTATTGACATACCTAAAAAACCACAAATTACTATGAAATAGGTCTGGAAACATGTGGCCCACCTAGAAAAAAAGGTCTTTAACAAAGAAAGAATTCTTTCTAAATTACGTCGGTACTCACGAGGTAGAACAACGGGTTATAGATGCACAGTGTTGGTCACATACTAAGTAATGCCTTTACTAATAAAAGAGTATGTCCGAATAGCACACGTTTGTGGGTTTTTTTTGTTGTTGTTGTTGTTTTTTACAGAACTTAATCATCAGAGGCTAAAACTGAGAGGCATAGGGACTAGTTCCAAGATACCAGATAAGAGGATGGCTACAGAATGAAATTATCGTTAAATATTAACTAAAAGTCAAACATGCAAGAAAATATTAAATATGTATTACAGTTTTAGGATGAGGTTAAGGAAAAGAGGCAGTGAGCCAGGTTCCTATTACAGTAAGAGGAATCTCTGTTCAAAACAGGGAAGGGAGGACAGCAGAGGAAAATCTTAAAGAGTCAAGGATCCTCCTGACTCCTGGGGGCCCAGCAGACACATCCAGCCCAGGTCTCAGCTTCAGGTAGAGGGGTGGGGAAGGGAAAAAAGGTTCTTATTCTCCCGACCATGTCACCCATGAAGGGTCTACTTTCAAGGTCAACCTCAGCAGGAAGCCTGGCATCAGGAGGGCCTCTCGTGTCTAACAGTCTACCCCACATGTGTGCTAGCGAGTGCATACCTGCAACATAGGGTTTAACATGTATACCTGCCGTAGATAACATACAATTCTTTTCAGTATAATCAGTCAATTAATCAGAAGTACTACAGAATCATTCCAGGCTGCTGTGAGCAAAGCCCCCTAGAGTTGGGTAATATTGTAGCCCCAAGACATCTGGTCAAAATCTCACATGCACTAAGCAGCAACATGGAGTTCCACTTCCAATCTGCTCCCTTTTATTATTTATTTCTCATTGTAAATTATTAAAATATTATTTAATAGTTTAGTCATTACTTTGTATAATTTTTAATTAAGTTGCTCTCATATTATTAAATTATTATTTTTTCAGTCTTTGTAAGCCTAGTGAAGGTAGCCCCATCCTCAAGAGATGACACACTTACCAAAGAGAATAGGACAGGACTAAGATGACAATCATCCTGGTTTTCCTACAGACTGTCCAGGTAATGGCACTGAAAGTCCTACATCCCAGGAAATGTCTCAGTCCTAGGCAAACCAGGACACCCGTCACTCCCAATAAGATCCAGAAGTTGGTAACTATACCAAGATAATATTGCCCTAAGAAGAGTAGATACTATGTAGATACTATGTAGACTGATATAAACCCACTCCCACCACCTTCTCCTTTGCATTCTAACCAAAAAGACTGGAAAGCTAAATTCTTGACCTCCCTGACTACCTGCAGCTAAGGGATGGCCATGTGACTCAGCTCAGGATAATGAAATAAGAAGCCCCTGGTGGGAAGGGGGCTGCCTTATTTCCTGAGTAAGGAAAAGCCTCACCAGGAGAAAGCTTTTGCTGTTACCCTTGGCCCATTCCCTCTGTTCCTGCTGGAACAAAGAACTGATGCCTAAACACAAAGAAGTTACTTTGTGAGAAGAGTGCCTGGGTGGCTCAGTTGGTTAAGCATCTGCCTTCGGCTCAAGTCATATGATCCCAGGGACCTGGGATCCAGTCCTGGTCAGGCTTCCTGCTCAGCAGGGAGTCTGCTTTGCCCTCTGCCCCTCCCCCTGCTCATGCTCCCTTTCCCCTTCTCTGTCTCTCTCTCTCAAATAAATAAAATCTTAAAAAAAAAAAAAGAATTTACTTTGTGAGAAGGAGATGAGCATGAGAAAAACCTCTATGCTAAAGATGTTGAAGCAGAGACATGCAAAGGCCCTGAGTCTGGACGGCACTGTTGCAGCCTCGGAGTTCCTCCTCAAGACTGCTGCAAGAGACAAAGGACTCGGGCGGGAGGAGGCGCAGGCGCGCTGCTCGCCCCGTCTGCAGCCCCGCGCCGAGCGCAGTGTCTGGGGGAATTGGCGGCATCACGGTGCGGCCGCCTAGCCGAGCGCTGAGCGCAGAGCGCAGCCACCCGCCGCTGCCCAGGGAGCGTCCAAGATGTGGGGGGATCGGGGCGGCAGCGGCCGCAGCAGCGCCAGGGACAGGGGCGCGCAGCAGCCTCCGCTCACCTGCCTCCCCTGCCCCCAGAGAATGTCAGCCAAGTCCAAGGGGACCGACCCCCTCCTCGTCCTCTCCAGCCGAGGGACCGCCGGCAGCCTCCAAAACCAAGGTGAAGGAACAGATCAAGATCATCGTGGAGGATCTAGAATTAGTCCTGGGCGACCTGAAGGACGTGGCCAAGGAACTTGAGGTGGTTGACCAGATTGATACCCTGACCTCCGACCTGCAGCTGGAGGATGAGATGACCGAGAGCTCCGAAACAGACACCCTGAATGGTAGCTCCAGCGGCACAACGGCCTCCAGCACCGAGAAGATCAAAGTGCAGGCCCACGCATCCCTCATCAAGCCCCCAGTACACCCATTTGCTATCCTCACCGTCCTGAGAAAGCCAAACCCTCCGCCGCCTCCCCCGCGGGTGACCCCTGTGAAGTGTGAAGACCCCCGGAGAGGGGCGCCGACGGTCAATCCCGTGAAGACGAATGGCACCCTCCTGCGAAATGGAGGCTTCCCCGGGGCACCCAACAAAATTCCAAATGGAGACGTCTGCTGCATACCCGCTGGTACCTTGGACAAGGCTCCCGGGCGGCCTCTGAAGCACAGACCTGAAAAAGACAGGTGCCCCCAGGCAGGGCCTCGGGAACGAGTTCGGTTTAATGAAAAAGTGCAGTACCATGGCTACTGTCCCGACTGTGACACCCGGTATAACATAAA